CCCAATAGTATACATAACACAAAGTAGTAGTCAAGGCATTCTTTTCATATTTTCCCAATGAGCTCAGGTAATGTATGTATGTATAATTGGACAACAAAACCACACAGGTCCTGAAACAAATATCACGATTAGACTAAGTAACATAACATGAAATCCTCAAGTAACTGACAACATATTTCAAGTTTTAAGCTTTTATTTAAAGGATAAGGTAGTTATGTTAAGGCTTATTAAATCTAAAATAAAAGACTGGAAATATCTGGCAAACCTTAAGTTTTAGGAAACAATTCTTATATTATTAGCATATTGGCTGTTTATTAGTACTTATAAAGCACGTATTAATGCCTTGTTCTGCATGACCATATTTTAAACCCCTTAATCCTACCCCATACTAAACTAAAGTGAGACCAAGTTTAATATGTTAAATATATTAGGAATCTGCTTACTCTGCCTGTGCTATACTACAGGAACAAGTTTCTCATCATTCAAATCTAACTGTCATGGTAATTCATTTATGAAGATTAACATTAAAAAAGCCCTAAATAATCTTCACAGCTGTTGAAAATAATCCCAGTCATATTTCAAATGTTGGACATGTTCTTAATCAGAACGCTACGCCTGTCAAGTTAACACAGCGTTTCCGTTTAAGTCATTGAAAAGCTTGTAGTTATCTAATATAATAAATGAAAAAGAAAAAGCAGTGTCATCTTATGTACTCTTGGAAAAAATTGCATTTGTTTGAAAAAGCGTCAAGATGTGTTTGTCAAATACTGGGGCAGCTTCCTTTCTTATTTGGGCATAACAGGATATCATCTAACTTTCCATGCTTTCTTTTTAAATATTTTTTTTACGGATTATTTGTGGCACTATGGGTTGGAGGTTTAGGGCATGTTATAGGGCAGTGTATACAGGAATGATCTATTCAGATTATTCTGTATTTTATATGTTGTGTTTAACCTGAAAAAAAACCCAATAAATGTAATGTTCAAAAAAATAAAAATAAAAGAAAAAGCATTTTTTTTCCAGATGCATATAACCACTGAAACTATCTAAACTATTCCCCTCATATTTGGTTCATATCTCATATTACATATCCTATAGCTTTGGAGAAACAGCAAAGTCCAAAACTATCCAGAGTGATTCTGCTCTCTTGTAAAAATGACATTTAAACTCACAATTCTGTCTAGTGTCAGCAAACTGTCTGGAAGTGCATATGTGAGTCAAATGATATGCAATCTGGCTTTCTAATTTCTAATACGTTGCAGAAAAGAAAAGGAATAACAAGCAAGATAATGTAACAAGAACAATGCTTAAGACTGCACTGACATCATGTTTTCTTTTTAAAAGTTTTAAGGCTTTATTACTGAAATTATATGCCTCTGATTTTACACATGGGGTCTTAAGAAGTTAAGTTAACTTAAAAAAAGAAAACATCTTGGAAGAATAATTATGTTCAAAATTTCAGAAAAAAAAACATTACCACAACACTCTGCAGCTCAGCATACCTTTCAGTTTCCAGTGCAAATTTAGTGAAGTCTTCAGTCTCTCCGAGGTGTCCCTAAACCCCTGGCACACATTTCACGCTGACAACCGAGCCAAAGAAAGCTTGCTTAGCCCCCAGCAGACTTTTCCATTTTGGAAGTGGAGATAATTCTCTGCGTGTGTAAGTATATAAGGGAGTAAACAGCCAACCAGATGTAGGATTTGCTAAAATATTTTTACGTCCACATTTGTCCACTGGGGAAACGAGGGTGGAGATGGATATTGAGAGGGGGGGGGGGGTCTAAATTCATCAAACATCCTTTGAATGGGTTTACACTTTGACATTAAAAATCAGCCTAAAAATAATCAAATGACTGCAGTCTCAGTGCTAAAAATAATATCTAATGAAATCAATAAAATAATGTTGCTATTTAAATCTCCAAAATAAATACAGATAACAGAGACCGCAAGAAATGTGAGAGAGGGGCTGAGAATATACAAGATATTTACATCCGGAACAAAACACTCAAAATCCCAAGCTGTGTTTCTTCTCCCTGATGGACAATGAAATGTCTGTGCGCGTGAGAACATTTAGAACTAATATACGATCGCTTGGTTTTGTTCAGTCATACAGCATTATATGAGATCTGTAAAAGCACTCTAGCAAATTCTACCACTGCACAATATCATGATTCAGCACAACCAGATCATAAAAGTAGCTTGTCCAATGTGTCTACTAAAAAAAGTACAGACATAAAGTCCTGAACACATTCTGTTCCCTGTCAAATAGCATCAGTGCTTCTCCCCAGTGACTGACAGAGTAACTCAAGAAAGGAAGAGAGAAGGGAGGAAGAGGAAGGGTCACAGAGGGGACAGGATGCTGGTTTGGGGGAGAGTCTGAAGGGATAAATTAGGAACCAGCCTCAATGTACAGAGAGAATGAATCACAAACCACCATTCCAGGCTCAGGGCTCACCATATACATGCTAATAATAGACTCCAGTATGTGAGAATGTGTTTGGCGGCATGTGTTTGTGTTGTAGGCAAAAAAAAAAAAAAAAAAAAAACTGAAGCAGATTGTTGTGGAGCAAGCACCCACGATCTTCATTTATCATTAAACTTGTGCACGGTGATTTAACAGATATGTGATTTGATTAGTTCTGTCATAACCACATATACAAAGCTGAAAAATCTTTTTTGATAGCCTTTCTCAGTGTTCATTTATCATTTTACCTCATGTTGGCAGTTCATCAGTCAGGCTACAGACTGGAGGCATTTCTATATATCTATGGTTTGAAATACTATAAAAGAAAGAATATTTAAATATTTTTGTGGCGTATCACCGATTTTAGAAATGCAAAGAAGCATTTAACATGTTATGATAAAAGCTATTTTAACTATATAAATAAGGTGTTGTCAAGGACCCCTGACATAAAAATACTTGATTTTCTTTCAAATGTAACACTTGTTTAAATGTTGTTTAAATCACGGTTTAAATGCTAAACAAGTGCTGACCAGGTTTTTCAATTAATTTGCTTACTTTTTAATCCTTTGCTTAGATTCGTCTGCTCTAATGTTCCATACCGGAAGAAAATGTTTCATGGTGGTTTTAAACACTATAGTACAAAAAAGGCTTTCTTTTGAAAAAAGAAATTATTATTAATTATTACAAAAATAATAATAAATAAATAATACAGAAGGCTATAAATCAAACTAAAAGGAAAGAACACACTGTACCAACATTAACAAGGAAGATTAAATTCTATTGTGGATGAATTTGAGCTAATACATTCATATTTTACAGCTCGATGGGGTAAGAGTTAAGTAATTGTTATGTTTTGGTTATTTAGAACAATAACTAGAGTGGAAGTCGCTTCCAATACCTGATACCCTCAACTGAATGTCTGACATCACAGGCTGAACATATTAGAACTTCCAGAAAACAGGTATCACGTCACTATCACTAGAACAACAGAGTAATTGGTTCAAAGGTGATGACAAGCATAGGAAAAAAATGAAACTTAAGATCCTTACGCGCATTACACAGAGACATTAAACAAAACGGCTCATGTTCCCTAATTAGTGCTCTACGATGACGAATCTGCCTCTGTACTGCCTCCTGCACTTCTGTAACAAACAATCATTCTGTCAGTCACAGAAAATGAATGCGAGAGAAAATAGAAAAAAAAGCAAGGCTGACAGTGTGGAAGTCTGCAACTCTCAGTTGTGTCGATGTCAAATTGTAAAATAAATGACGCAAATAACTTTGTCACTTGTCTCACTATCTAGCCTACAGTGAGATCATCACAATAAACCTAAACTGCGTGTACATCTATACTCATAAAAAAAGCTGCTGAACCTGCTATTTCACTCTCAGCAAAGATGCAGTCAGACGTAGAGAGATTGACTCAAGAACGTTAGTCCTGGAGGGCCGGAGCCCTGCAGAGTTTAGATTCAACCCTAATTAAACACACCTCATCCAACTACTCAAGTCCTTCAAGCTTATTTGAAAACTACATGGTATGTGTGTTGGAGCAAGGCTGGAACGAAACTCTGCAGGGCTCCGGCCCTCCAGGAATTGAGCTACAGCCTTCATATGCCTGTCGATATATAGGCCTATACATCATGACACTATGCGTAATCGAATACATGAAGAATTCGTGTGACCAACTCGAACCCGTTGCGAAATCTGCGTGGAGAAACATTTGTCGAAATTCCCAAGAGCGTGGATTCCTATTGAGTGGATAATTTCGGCAAACAACTGTAAACGTGACCGCTCCTTTTTGAACTTTCAGGCTGACTGAAATCAAACTTGACAGTGGGGAAACAATTACAAAGACTAACATAATTCATATAAAAAGACACCTACTACAACTATTAATAAACAAAATCCAAAAGAAGTTTCATTAAAATGTATCGTTTACTAGACCTGTTATTATACATTTACAAAGCAATAAGAACAGAGAACTGAGACACAGGTAAACCCTACAGTATTGGAGGAGCTGGTGTGGTTTCATGTCACATATGCATCATGTTCCCTTGTGTTTGGAGCATGGAGGCTGCACATCCTACAGTGCAATTACACAAGCAACTGGAGTGAAATCACTGACCCTGAACACATCCATGAATTCCTCCAGGTTAGATACTCTAGACATGAGAGTAAACAATATATGAGTATTTGTATGCATTCACCCTGCTAAACAGCGTCAAGAAAGTGACTAATAAATTATAAAATAGTGCAGCGAACCAGCGAACAATCCTCTCAATGTAACAGTTTTGATACCATTTTGCAAGGCTAAATTACACAAAGGAAATTTTCGGTTTGGAGACAGATCTGCATTAACTCTGGAAAAGTGACGTGATGTGTAGCCAAGAATGGTGTCCCATACTCGGAATTTGTGCTCTGCATTTAACCCATCCAAGTGAACACACATACCCAGAGCAGTGGGCAACCATTTTTGCTGCGGTGCCCGGGGAGCAGTTGGGGGTTTGGTGCCTTGCTCAAGGGCCCACCTACAATCCCTGCCGGTACTGAGACTCGAACCCACGACCTTTGGGTTACAAGGCTGACCTTTGGGTTACAAGGCAGATTTTATCTGAACTGGTCTGCCAAAATACTCAAAGCTTTAAAATTCATTAAAACAATACTTACTCCAAACAAAGGAAATAAGATCTTTTCATATGTGACAAGACAAAATTTTAAATGAACTGAAAGGTCTAGGGTCTTTCTAATACTTATCAGTCCAAAATTAACATGCGCCTGGGAAACCAGCCCATACTGAGTACATCGGTGGATGTACTGAAACATGACTCTCAACTGCATCTGACATACATTTAATCTACCTGTGTATATATCGAAAAAATAAGGCTCTCTATAGGTCCAAAGGTTCCAGCAAAAAGCAGCTTTAGTTTAAAAACAGCATTAGTTTATTACTATAATCTTTTATCTGTTGGTTAAGCAATACGTCAGACTGTGGAGAAAGAGACACAAGTCACTTAGTGCTAAAATCCTCACATTCAGTTCCGATTCACCTCCCACAGAAATATTCAATCGCTGTTCTCCATTTGTCAATCCAAGAGAGAGTCTGAATTATTCAGGGTCACCCACCACAAGGCAAATGTCATGAGGTGCATTTCATGGAAGAAGAAGGTTCCCGGACCGAGTGCATGTTACATGATTGGTCTGCAAGCTTCCCTGATTGGCCACGGAACCTTAAGGTTTTTGGGGGAATAAGGCTTTAAGTGTGTTCTGTAGGTCTCCATATGGATGGAGGGCGAATGTAGTGGTCATGGGGAACATCTGTGCTTTCCATCGATGGGAGGAAGATGGTTCTAAGGTCCCTCAGATGTATGAGTGAGTGTGCGAGTTAGTTAATGCTGTTTGTGGCACTAGCTTCAGGGCTGTCCAGTTCTCTGTGGAATGTTTCATCGGGCTGCAGGTTTGTTCTGGAATATTCCTCGTACCATTCCTGCAGACAAAAAGAAACAATCTCTTTACACAAACACTGCATTGCCTATCTGGAAATTAGGGGGGGAATTTAGAGCCAAATATATCACACTATAACTTTGCAAAACATAACATGATATCATTGAAATAACTTTAAGTAGCATTTATTTTTCTTTTGCTAAACTTTCCAAGTTTCCACTTGGGCACATCCTTGTATAAACAGCTGTGTGATATATGACCATTTCAGACTTTCATGATTTAATTTTCTGATTCAACCCTTTGTGAATGCTTTACTTAAAATATGTCAATAAAAGGTTCAAATTAATTTAAAATAATCTGGTCACCACATCACTTTTTATGAAAACAATATTACATTATTGCTAATTCAGAAGTGTGTTTTTTCCATTACAAAGCATTGAGTATCTTCCTATCCAGTGTTAATTTAGTACCATTGACATACTATTATTGTATTTATTAATATTTTGAATCAGGTTTTATTTTATATTTTACTTTTTTTTTTTTTGTGTGTGCTTTTGTCATTTTAGTAGTTTGCTGTCTATATAGTTTTTATTAATTTTATTTCAGTTTTAGTTTGAGTTATTTTAGTATATATTTTAAATTGAGATGGATTGAGCTGAATTTGTACAAATATTTTATTTCAGTTAACTTTTTTTTTTAAGTAATGAAAATGTTTTTTAATGGTTTTATTTTAGCTCCTGTTTTAGTTAATAGCCCTATAATAACCCTGTTTCTATCCTACCTGAATCTCTTCCTCGTACATCTTCATGCTGAGGTCACTCTTGGTACGTGACCTTCGACCCAGAAATACTAATGAGGAATGCTGTGAGCAAAGACAAAAATTATCCATTACAATTCAATCAATTTAACAAAGAAACACAAATGAGATGCTATGAACACAAACTGCGTGTGCATGTATGTATGTGCTCACCCCGCTCCGCTCCAGAGCCACACACATGTCCTGCAGTGAGCTTAGGTTGGCGACACCCAGTGTGTGTTTATACAAGTCTAGAGTCTGTAGAGCTTCAGTCTGGGACACCTCTGTCTCAAAGACAATCCCCATTTCATCTATAACACACACACATTCTCAGTATTAGATATCTCAGTCATAATCATTTTAATAAACATGTCATCAGAAGAACGGGACTCTAAACATTTAGAACCTTCTGGGTCATCCAGCGGCTCTCTGTTCTTCCGACTGTAGTTCATCCTGAAGACAAATGCATCTAGAATGAAGGCCACGATTATCGTCATGACAACCTGCATCAAACAGAGGCATTTACACTCAAAATAACACCGGGCTGTGAGAAAAGATTTATAACACACATATAAATGGGTAGCTGACAACAGCAGTGCCAATTTTTTTACAATTTTAAACAACATTATTTTTAAAGTATTATAATTAAACATGCAGTGTTTATGCCTCATGTTGTTAAAAATCAATGAAAGAAATGTAGACCTCTTACACTGTACCTTTTACCTATATACTGTAACTCAATCTTCACATCAAAAAGAAATCATATCCACATAATTTCCTTCAGTGTTATTGATAATGCTATTACAGATTCCATTCATATTTTGAATTAGCTTTTATTAATTTATTTTCAGTTTTCATTTTAATTTTAATTTTTTACTAATTTAGTCAAACTCATTCAAACTCATCTATCTAATATTTCTAATCTATCTATCTATCCTAGCGACATTCTAATCATGCTAGAAACATACTAACAGCATGCTAGTAGCATGCTAATCATGCAAGCAACATGCTAATCATGCTAGAAACATGTTAGTAACTTGCTAATCATGCTAGCAACATGCTAACCATGTTAGAAACATGCTAGTAACATGCTAATCATGTTAGAAACATGCTAGTAACTTGTTAATCATGTTAAAAACATGTTAGTCACTTGCTAATCATGCTAGCAACATGCTAGTTACTTGCTAATAATGCCAGCAACATGCTAGTAAAATGCTAATCATGCTAGAAAAATGCTAGTAACTTGCTAATCATGTTAAAAACATGTTAGTCACTTGTTAATCTGGCTAGCGAAATGTTAGTAACATTTTAATCATGCTAGAAACATGCAAGTGACATGCTAGTAACTTGCTAATCATGCTATAAACATGGTAGTTACTTGCTAATAATGCCAGCAACATGCTAGTAACATGCTAATCATGCTAGAAAAATGCTAGTAACTTGCTAATCATGCTAGAAACATGCTAGTAACTTGCTATAGGCCTGTAACAGAACTAACTTTACCCTGCGCTGACATGCTAGTCACTTGCTAATCATGCTAGCAACATGCTAGTAGCATGCTATTCATGCTAGCGACATGCTAGTAACTTGCTAATCATGCTAGAAAAATGCTAGTAACTTGCTAATCATGTTAAAAACATGTTAGTCACTTGCTAATCATGCTAGCAACATGCTAGCAACATGTTAATCATGCAAGAAACATGCTAATAACTTGCTAATCATGCTAGAAACATGCTAGTAACTTGCTATGCATGCTAGCAACATGCTAGTTACTGGTTAATCAGGCTAGCAACATGTTAATCATGCTAGAAATGCTAGTCACTTGCTATTCATGCTAGCGACATGCTAGTAACCTGCTAATCATGCTAGAAACATGCTAGTAACTTGCTATTCATGCTAGCAACATGCTAGTTACATGCTAATCAGGCTAGCAACATGCTAATCATGCTATAAACATGCTAGCGACATGCTAGTCACTTGCTAATCATGTT